GCATGGCAAATTCTTCAAATGGGGCCTCACCCATGTTGCTGGCTCCAGTTGACGGCAGCGTGCAGACCCAAAACACAGCTTGGCTGGCTGTATTGGCGGGTGAGACAACTTCTGATAAAGTGCTGCGGGAAGGACACTCAAGTGTTTCCATGGTGCACAAGGAACAAAGGGCTGAAGAGGCTACATCTGGGAGAGCGCTAGGAAGCCTGGGAGAGGCTGATTTGACTGGGTCTGCGCAGTGCACTGTGGGCATGTGAGCACTGGTGTGAGACTCGGGTCTTGAAATTCTAAACCCAGGGTCACCGTTCAGTGTGGACTCTCCAGCACAGGCTTAGACAAACTGAGCCTGCAGACTCGAGTCCCACACACCCAGGCTCACATTGCAGTGACTGTTACAGTCAGACGGGGGAGACGGTTACACAACTTGTCTCCTTCAGTAATTTTCCTCTTCACAGAAAGTTTATTTTAAAGCTGATCAACATAAATTCCATTTGAAATAGAAATAATTAGAGTCTATATTGGGTGTCCATTCTCATATACGCTACTTCTCTCAACCCCTTTAGAGTGAGATTTTACTTCAGCACTGCTTAATCCAAAGGGGCTGAATTACATCAAATAAACTTGTCAGAATTAGCCACCATTTTCTAAAATACTGATGCAACAAAAACAAACAAAAAACAAAAAAAGAAAAGAAATAAAAAACAATATAATTCGCAGTCTTACAATATAATTCCGGTTATCACATAATCAGTCTCTTATTCTGTAATGATTAACTTCATGTTTAATTCCATTATCACTGTAACAACAACATATTCAAAGATTACAAAATCTTATCATATTGGTTAGTTTTCTCTCAATCCTCATTTCCACCAATGAGCCCTGTGTAATGTTCTGTTCTCTACTAACACAGGTGCCTTCCATTTCTAAGAGTTCATTTGTCTCTGGGGTGTGTCTATACTGCAACATAAGACTGTGATTGAGCCCAGGCTCAAGCCTAAGCCCTTTTGCATCTACACTGCAATTGCGCTAACCCAGGGCTCAGACCCAGGGTCCCAGGACCCTGCAAGGCTGGAGGGCCCAAGCGCAAGTTAAGCTGAGATCCAGGGTCTGAGCCCCATTGCTTTGCAGTGTAGATGCAGCCCCGCTTGACTGGGGTCCCAGGAGTCAGCTGGAAGTATCCCACAATTCCATGGGACAAATTCCTTAGTCCTCTCTCCCCCAACAATCTGCAATCCACTCTACTGAAAACAGAAGCCTTTCCCCCTTTGCAAATGGCAGCTGCTCAGGTCAGCATTAACCCATTCGCTTCTGACTACTGATCTGTAAGCACACTATCAGAGAGTCTCCTGGGTGTGCAAAGGAGAGCGAACCCATCAAGCCTTTGGCAAAGCGAGCTGCTTCCTGGTAACATGCAGGGTGGGCAGTAAATTTTCCCAAAGTGCACCACAGTCCTGGAACTAGAATGGCCACAATTTTTTGGTGGGGAGGGGAGACAAGGGATGTGGGTACTTTGACTGGAGTCTGCGCACATCCAAAAGCATGCCGAACCAGTGCTGGTGAGGCCACGCCGGAGCCACCAGGATGCCCTTCACTTTGTCCCTCTTGATCTTCAGTAAGATCTTGTGAACCAGGGGTATCGGTGGGAAGGCGTACAGCAGGGTTCTCATCCAAGGGAGCAGGAAAGTGTTGGACAGGGAGCCTCTACTACTTTCAGCACCCCATCATGCACCGGGAGTGCCACCCTAGATGGCACCGCAACAGCCAAAATATCCAAGAGGCTGTCCAAGGGCTCAGTGAGTTCCTCCGCCTCTAAACCCAAGTTTGAGGTCACCCTCCTCAAAATATCCTGATGGGCCCTAAAGTCATCTGGAGGGAGCGGGTGAGCAGGCCTGGCGACCACCTCGTCCGGGGATGACGAGGATGATGGTAACACTCGGTGGGGTACAGGTGCCCCTTCCTCCACTGGAGAGGCTTCCCCCTGAGTCGAAGCCTGTACCTCGGTACCCACGTCAGAACCCGGTTCCTGTACTGAGGTGGGGGTGGGGGGTCATTCACTTTCCCAACACGGCTATGGACAATTGCTGGGAGTATGGTCCCAGCATCATAGGGAGCCTCCATGGGTTCCAGTACAGCCAATGTAATGGCCACTGAACTTGTGGCAAGACATCCGCTGCAGGGTTGGTACTACAGTCTGGTGTGTGGGCCGACCCAGTGCCTCTGGGAACAGGAACCAAGGTCCCCTTCCAACTCCAAGGAGGACTCCTCTCACAGGGACCAACGCCGTGCCTCTCGCTGCCGGTTAAGATGCAGAGCCAAACAGCGCCGGGGGGAAGGTGACCGGTGGCGGGAGTCCAAAGAACAGAGACTGGAGTCGAGTCGGTGGTGAAACACATGGAGACAGAGGCCGAAGCATCGGAGATTGGGAATAGAGCGTTGGAGAGTGGCGGCGCAGTGATGGTGAGCGGTGCTTGGTGGAGGGACGTCGGTACTGGGGAGATCAGGAACAACACTGGGAGGCCGACGATCCACATCTTATGGCCGGGAACCGGGAGCATTGAGCTGGGGACAGAGACCGCGGATGCAGTGCCGGAGACTAGGGCTGTGAGGTTGTGGAGTGGTGCCGAGGCTCTAGTGAACAGTGACACCCAAGCAACCACTGGGGCAGCACATGGGAGACTTCCCCTTGGGAGGTGGAGCCTTCACTGATTCTGCTGGCGGAGGGAGATCCCGTGCAGTGGGCGGCACCGGAAGGGCCATCAGATCTCTGGCTGTTTGGAAGGCCTACGGTGTGGAGGGCACCATAAGGTGCATGGTACCCCTGCCGCTCTCTGGAGTTGGAGGCGGTTCCCGTACTGGTCTCAGAGCCCTGGGTGGGGAGGCTATACCTGATGGGGCAGGTGGCCTGTCACCCCTTTCCCCTCCTTTTTTGAAACTGGAGATCAGCTGCATTCAACGTGCTGTTTCTTATGGCACTTTTGCAGCACCGGTGATGGAGCAGCGCTGGAGGGAACCTGGTGCCAGTGGGATGCTCTGTACCAAGGCGGAGGTACTCGGTTCCGAGTAGGAGCATGAGGGTTCTGATCTGGTCTAAGAGCCGCTTCCATCAGGAGGGCTTCGAGACAGATGTCTCTGTCCTTTTGAGTATGTGCTATAAAGCTCTTACAGATTCTGCACTTTTCTTTAATGTGCGATTCCCCAAGACACTTCAGACAGCTTATGTGAGGGTCGCTGACCGACATGTGCTTGTGGTAAATGGCACACGGCTTGAATACCGGGGCATGCCCCGTCCCTGGGACAAAGTCCCTAAGGGGACTACCAACTATTTTAACCTAACTACTAATCTAACTAACTTTACTAAGTGAACTCTATACAATTATATACAAAAAACTATAAAAGTTAACTACAAAGATCACTTTGCGAATCACAAAGGGAGAAGACATTCCAGCGACCGTCACGGGCAGTAAGAAGGAACTGAAGGGGCACAGGGTCGGTGGCACCTAATATACTGGTGCATAAGTGCAGAACTACAGAGGCACCAGAGCCGGGCCTATGGATACCAATAAGGGAAAAATCTCTGGCAGCCATGCACATGGGTGCACAGACACCTAACATGGAATCGACATGAGCAAGCACTCAAAGAAGCACAAAATCTTTGAGACAGTGTGACTGCTGTAACTCCTGTCTTCCGTAGGGATCGGTAAAGTAGACACTCTTCCTTAGTATGTAATGCTGCATTATTCTTTGACTAATAATCATTGATTAATAAATTGATTAAGCCTAGTTATTGGACATCTCTTGTTTTTAATGTATTGTGCACCGACAACTAGTGTGATTATGTCCAGTTACTTGAGTTAGTTCTTCAATTTGTGGTATGCCATTGTTCACTGTTTCAGAGTAGAATTTTTTAAATGGTTCTGTTTCTTTGGGAGCATGCCCAACAGCTTGGAGTATTTTTTCCCAATGGCTGAACTGCACTTGAACTTCCTCCATGTCATCATAGAGGGGCAGGGAAAAGACATGAATAAAATAAGATATTACCATTTTAGCAAACGGTCATTTGTCTCAAAGTCCCCAAAAAATCTGAGGT